GCTAGAAAGCGTCCTCTGCACGATAACCTGAAGGCCAATTATCCACCACTCATTAAATTTTATCCAACTGGCTTAGCTTGAAGGATTTTTATTTCCTTAATACACGGATTAGTTGTATCAGGGGGGCAACGATAAGGAAGACTACATAATTAATGTAGTTCACTGGAGCGTACTGCAAAAGTATCTAAACAGGGAGGGGTGGGAGGGGGGGGTGATTAAACCATTTGTTACTCTAAAGATCGTATGTGTGTGTGTGTGGGGGGGGGTGTATTTGGCCTTGCACAGTACATCATTATAATTTGCAATACTCGGCTTTAATTTTTTTTTCAACAGCATCAGGCTGGCAAAGGGTGTAAGAATATACAGGTTAAAGAAACAGAATAATACAGGCTATATTGTAAGCTGAAATAATGAGATAAACTTGTGTTGCGAGAAACGCTAGGAAGTACTGAGTAACAATTAATATTATGACTACAAAGCATGCAAGCACCATATAACCTATAGACAAGATATATTCTTTCCCAAGCAGCAAAAGTAGTATGTACAATCAGTCATAATCTGTACTTACCACAAGCAGCATGACGTGCATAATAAAACAGATTAAATCAATGTGTTTAAAGCATGAACATATGATTTATTATATATCAGGTTAAAACAGTTTCACGGCGTATATCAATAGGCTGTTACGCATATTTTATTGTTTTGTTGATTCATAATATTTTACTTATTTCTGTGGTAATTATTGCAAATTACACACCAAACTGGATTATGAGACGCATTCCACTGTTCGAGTTTTGTTCTGTCATTTCGTAAGGTGTTCCAGAAGCAAGAATTAAAGGAATTACAACTGTGTATGAGTTTTAGAGTGATCAGGTGTGTGTACTTATTTTTAGTAAGTTAATATATTGTAGATTCAGGAGATGACGTGATCGATTGGTCTGTGTTTGGGCAGTGGCGGCTGGGTCCATTTTTTTAACGGCGTTGTCAGTAAAGATGGACGGGAAGTCGGACGGGGACGCTAAACTGGTTATCTGTTTTCTAATTGTTGATAACAGTAGCTAGTGACGAAAGGTTGAATCTGAATGGATAGCCAACTAATCAGTGAGAACTAAATTACAACTCAAAATAAATGTTTCCGTTTGCGAGAAATTAAAACGACATTTGAATTTAAAGAGTGAAACCACTAAACGCTGTTGTACTGTAGCTTTAACACATTATATCATCTCTACCATCAGAAATTTTACTTATCCTACAGGTTATACTGTCAGTGTCTGCAGAATTTCAACTTTTCAAACACTCACGATGTGTTGGTTTGAAGAAGTTAAGTATTTTATGTCGTTGGGTTTACAAAGGCCATAACGCTGATTAGAAATAACAGTATGAGGAATATGGAGTTGTGTTTGTATTATGAAGGAATTTAGTAACCCTTCAGGGAATTTGTAGAACACGCCCACGATATACCCCTTGTGATAGAATAACTCTGAATAAGTAAAAGACAATCTCCTCGAATGTCTTATGGTATTAGGACTACAACACACCTCTCACACCTGGGATGGAGAAATTGACATATAACTCAAATATTAGAACACGTCTTCCACACCTTATGGTAAATTCAATGGAGCATGGTTTAATTAATTAGTAGAAAGCACCCGCTTTTCCTTTGTAGTAGAATAATTAGCGTGTGAGTTAATGGTTAAACGGCCTGGTAGTAAAGTAATGATCGCAGGTGTTAATTAGTTAAAGGCGTCCACTACCCCCTTGTATAATACCTGGTCGGTGCACCAGTACCAGATGGAACCGATGGTGAGGCCGAATAAGATCCCGGGCCAAGGCAAGTCAGACCCTACCAGAGGACGGAACAGGTTCAAGGCATAGGGCGGCGGCTGGCTGTTGGGGCACGTTTGGTTGTTGGCATCGTAGGTAACCTTTGATGGTATGGCAGTGAAGTAGTCCGTTACTAACCGGTTGTAGCCGCCCACTTCATAAATAGCTGCAGGAGATTCCATAATCAATCAGTCTCTCGCTTACGGCTCGAGCGTTGTTTGTCATTTACTGAGGCAGTGAGTCAATAACGAGAGATGTGGCAGTCAATCACCCATTCACTTCCTACTTGGGTGTTGCACTACAGAAATGAACAGAAGTTAGCGAGAAATGTGTCGTTCACTCATTCCCCTTCATGCTTGTCATGTTGTTTTGCACGAAAGGCCCTGAATGAGCTGACTCACCAGTTCCCGAGTTAGCAAGAAATTCGATTGTCATTCAATCACTCACTGCTTGGTTGTTATTAGTTACTTACTACAGCAGTAAATAGGAGTTAACTAGAGATATGACTCAGTAACTCTCTTACTGCGTCGATGTACATTGTCACTGGGACAGGGTGTGAGTTAGCGAAAGATTAGTTACTCACCCTCTCACTGTGGGATCTTCTTTGTCAGTTACCGCAGCAGTTGATGCGAGTTAGAGGAGTAAGAAAGGCAGTGTGGGTCTCATGTTGTGTCAGATGTAATCAATTTATCTTTGCCGATTTTGTGAAGCAGATACAGAATCAGTGTTGGACAAGGTTCACAGCAAACTGACTGGTTGCACAATGGTTTAATCAAGCTGACTGGACATACAGTGAGGTACACCAAGCTGACTGGACAAACAGTGGGGTACACCAAGCTGACTGGACATACAGTGGGGTACACCAAGCTGACTGGACATACAGTGAGGTTCACCAAGCTGACAGGACATACAGTGGGATACAAAAAGCTGTCTGGACATGCATAAATTTAGCCGGAGGAGGTGACGATGAAACACTGGTTATTATTGCTAGAGGAGATATTAGCGTTGATGAATGGCTGAGGAAATATGTGTTTACAGCGCTCAAGAAAATCCTCTGCAAACATTGGTCTAACCTAACAGTAAAGAAACTAAGCAGTGATTACTGGTTACACTTGATAGTAACCAAAGTAATCATCAGTAATCATTGGTGATTCTTATCAACAATGACACCCATAACGTGTAAGCATAAATGATACGTGAAACTGGATTCCATAGGCCTGGAAAGGGTAGTGCAGATACAACACGTTCTTTCAAGCCTTTGATACACAGGGAGGCAGTACGGTTGGTATTGTACTCTACCGCCTTCACTTTCCCATTTCTAGGGTCAAGTACCCAATCACAGCTGGGTAAACCGGGGGATACACAGGGTCCGATCATAGTTAACAAAAAGTAAGCTAATCAGGCGTTTGAGAGCACTGATAATACCTAGCAATAAAGAAATTAATCTGTTTAAGTGTTGTCACGTGTGCCAGCCAACCAGCCACGGTGCTTCAAGATAGTGATAAATATTGTTTAAACTTCCTGTCTATTACATAGCCAGGGCATATACAAGCATTAGTCACCTGGTCAGTGCACCAGTACCAAATGCCGGAGATGGTGACGCCGAAGAGCATACCAGGCCAGGGTAAATCTGACTCCCCGGGCTTGGCAGACCTGAAGAGGTTCATGGCATAGGACGGCGGCTCCCCACAGTTAGTGCTGTTGTCAATGGAGTATCTGGTGCGGTTAGGGATGGCGTAGAAGTAATCCTGTACTAGGTTCTCGTAGCCCCCAACGGCGTGGAAGGCTTCAGGGATAAAGTTCAAGGTGTTAGTGGGTTAGTAAAAGTCAAGAACAAGATTTTAATATTTAACAGGTTATGACACCGACAGTCAAGGACAGTGATGTGGACAACACGGATATACTTTCTGGTGAAAGTGGATAAGCAAGATTTGTAAGTGGGTTTATAAAGTTATCTATATGCATTTGATAAAGGTTAATGTTATTCCAGTTACAATTTTAATGCCTTAATTATATTATATATTGCACATAGGGTTTTGTCGGTAGTACGAAGATGAATAATGCGGTTTTTTAGTTGTTAATCATATTGTATTTTACCTATTATGTGCTCTTATTAAATAGCCTCAGAGGACTGCTCGCCAGCATCACACAACTTAGTCCAGGCGCTCTCTCTTTCTCTTACAAGCACCTCTAGTATAAAAAAAAACACACACACACAAACGTAGTACTCACACATGCCCATAAGGATACAAGCGCCGACAACCATGAGGATAGTTTGCACAAAATCAGTCCAAATGACGGCCGTGAGTCCTCCAGTGATGGTGAAGATGGAAGCGATAGCCAGAAGAATCAAGATGCTGAGGTACATCCACTCAACGCTGTTCTTGTTCAACATCTGCTGGATGAACAGCGCCCCCGCGTACAAGTCAGCCTGTAACAAGGGTCAACAAGATTTTTCAGGGGTTAAATTGTAACAGTATATTGTAGTTCCAGGGAGGTGAAGTCGTACAACAAATATGTTTTTGAATTTCAGACTATAGGTAAGTCATCCTATACGTGTTAACGCTAAATGTTAATCTCTGAGCGTTGGTCAGCAAGTTTAAACTGGTATCGTGAGTCCGTGAAGTTTCTTGTAGATCGAGTCTAAAATAAGGTGTTTGCTAAGTTTTTTTTTGTAACACATCAACATGATTCAGAGTTTTTCGTCAGAAAATGGTGTGGACCTGTTCCCATAGCAGCCCTGTGTTGCATTATTAAAGACAGCATAAAAAACTACGGAGGCAGAGGCAAGTCTTGAGAATTTACGGGTATTTTGGTGAAGATTGAGAGGATGAGAGCGAGGCAGGAGAGGTAGACTCTGATCCTCTGACCTCCAAACCTCTCTCTGAGGTACTCTGGCATGGTGTATATTCCTGAACTCATGTACACAGGCACGAAAATCCATCCTAGTAGCATTAACACGAAGATGGCCTGTAAGTGTACAATACTGTGGTTACTCTTCTTCCCGTACAGTTACCCTCGTGCGCCACATGTCTAGTGTAGTTAAGTGTTCAGTATTAATGTTTTATATTAAACTGAACAGTTACCTACATCCCTTTAGCAATGAGAACCAGGCGGCTGAGAAAACCACAGTAAGTAAAACCATACGGTAATGGATTCATCAAAGATGTACAGTTATTATTTACCTTGTGTATCAGTAATGCGTTATGTAACTTGGCTCCAAGTGAAACATTTAATGCATATATTATGAAAATGATCTTGGAGGTAAAGTCTGTTATTATTTTCACAATAAATATATTATATAAGTATAGCTAGAAAAGCGAAGCGTGCAGTAACACTCACGTTCAATTCGAAAGCGCCGATGCCAATCCCTGAGGCGGCGCCCGACCCTGCCAGTCCTATAAAGTGACCTGACCCAATGTTGCTGGCGAACAGTAATGCTCCCACCTGGGGGATGATGACACATACAACTTGTGATTAAAATGTGACGGATGATAATACAAAGAGCGACATAAAAATATATTAAATACGAGATAAATATATGAGCAAAATAACAGCGCCAGACATTTGGGTCAATAACAAACATATACAGTAAAGCTATTTTTCAAAAACACAGAGTGATAATAAACATTAAAATAGAGATTAAATAAAATAAATAGTAGATGGAAACTGAGAGACCAGCAAAGAATCTGAATAAAAATAGGAGAGAAATACAAACTGACGGGCTAAACAGGACAGCTAAATACTTACGGGTATCCAGTGCATTTTGCGAGAGGCGAGGAAGTAGCCTGAGACGCTGCCCCGCTTGGTTTTCCATGACGACTGTGAAGAGATGGAATACAACTGTTGAGTGAGTGAGTAAGTGAATGAATGAATGTATGTCAGGGTTCAGTTATGGGATCCACTTTACAGTACGATTATCCACATTGATCGTCCCTAAATAAAGGCTAATCTGAATACATATACAGTACAAAGGGTGTTGGTGTCCTATGGTTTTGTCAGTACCTCAGGAGTTTAAGGTGATTTCCAGTCAATAATATTCTATGAAAATGGGACCAATAATTATCAGCGGTTACGGAACTATAAGTATTTGAATTTAAAGAGTGATTTGCACATCATTGTTTTATTGAATAAGTGCTACAAATGTATAGTTTAGTCTACAAGTGTTCAAAATGGTCGTCTTCATTTTGAACAAAGAACGACCTTGACGCTCCTGGTAGGGTTACTCGTTCACTGTTGCAACGAGCTACAAGGTGTATCCAAGCTGATGGCAGTTCATTTCTCCCGTTTAACAATGGAAATAGTATTGTTGCTGTGTTTCCTGACAGGAGTACTGGGCGCGGTGGTCCTATTTCCTACTTTGGTCACCAGATTGAAATATTCTTGGTTTTTATTCGTCAGGGAATTAAAAAAGCTTAGTTTATGCTACAAGTTCCAGTCAATTTGAAACTTTGTGCAACACTCCAGGAATTTTTGAGTACACATAAGAAAATCATGGGTGTGAGGTACTGAAGCAAGCAGTCAAGAAGTTCTGGTTTCTCAACAGTTTTTATTGTTTGTTTTTTCTCTTCCTTTGACTTAAGAATACACCCTGAGAAATGTAAAAGAAATTTATGAATCGTAGTTTTTTTTTTCCAGAATTTGATTTGTGTTAGGGTAGTGTTTTGTATTAATATCTAATATCAATAATAATAATAATAATAATAATAATAATAATAATAATAATAATAATAATAATAATAATAATAATAATAATAATAAAGTGTATTGAAAAATTATAGTCACCAAAAGCTTTCAATAGAAAAGGGAAAAGAGACTTTTAGTGAACATACAAATTATGTGTGTGTTTGTGTTTAAGGGGGGTGTTTTATGTGTATGTGTGGGGGGGTTGTTTGATTAGCGTTTTGTGTTTGTGTATGGACAGTATTAGTGCATCATCACTCCTGGTGGCCCACCAAAATGTGTTTACGAGTATGTTGCAGGTGTCTGTATACGTGGCCACACATCCCTCACCCTATTTACTCCTAGACACAATACCCCCGGTCAGGACCTTCGTGTGTATAAACTTCCTACACACCAATCTTGAGTTAGGTCACTGTTCAAGTCTTTGCAGGGTGCTCGCTCGCTGTGTTATCAGAGTACAGATCGGATCTCCTGAAGAATCTCCAGCCCAACTTATTTCACTTAAAGATTAACTACCCTAATGCTGACCATCTTAACAGTGTGTGGATAATTGGGTGTAATTCAAATGTAGATCTAACAAAGTGTGGCTGACTAAATTGTAGGCTTGGTTATGTCTAACAGTGAGTGGAGAAATTGATAATATTTGTTATAGTGTGTGTGTGTGTGTGTGTGTGTGTGTGTGTGTGTGTATAAGTCGATGGATGGGGTGTCAGGTTGGTGCTGACATTCAGACACCTCACGTACCGAGAAAGATAAGAATGTTTTCAATTGCCTAGTTCATACTATAGAAGTGCAGTGCTCATTTATGTCTAGCGTTAGCGGATGGCTGCCTCACTAGAGGTCAAAGCCTCAAGGGTCAAGTATAGAAAACAGTCAGTTAACTTTGGAGTAAGAATTGTGAACACTTTAGTTGTTAAAACACAAAGCTGAGTCAAGACCAGGCGTGCGTGTGTGTGTGTGTGTGTTGTGAAGCGATATGATGAAGTAACATTGCCAAGGGATAGACATGATAAGGAAACACTATGAACCTAAGAAGTAAAATTCAATGTATGATGATATGAAGAACGGCTGGTTCATGAAACTCGATGATTGTAGAGTATTTATGAAATTTGGTGTACTTTAAATGTGTAAAGCAGTGGAACAGTGTACAGTATATCAAACATAACCTGCGATTGTTCTCCAAAGAAGCTTGGTGAGTGCCTTAGCGTGTGGCCTGTGAGGTGCTAGCATAGCTCCATCCTGCGAGTGAACAAACCTTGTAATTTATAATTATGGTATAGTACTATAGACTATACTGTACAGTATGTATACGATGTCTATAGAATACAAGGTCTGTTCACGTGTAGGTGGGCGGAGCTAAACTGACATCACACTGACAAGCCACACTGAGGCGCACAGAGTGACCAAGCTTGTTTGGTGAACAATCACAATACCTGTACAGTAGACTTGGGTCGGGTGGACGACAGGCACGGAGCCTCTTTATTTACGGGGGGAACTAAGGGGAACAAAATACTAAGTGCAGTTCCTCCACCCGATTTGGTTTATACTTTAGGTATAAGTTTTTCCTGTAGAGACTTTTCGGTAAGGTAGTTGGTTGAATAGTACCACTTTCTCCTGATGGAGGAAGTTGTGACAGTACCAAGTGTGGGCTTCTTGTTCAGACATATTCAAGAGCCCATTTATGCCCAGTATTTTGCCAACAGTGTGTAACGATACTGACTGACAGTCCGATCAGGTAGTAAGCTGACAAGTGGAAAAGATGATAAATTAATATATCACCACCTGGGCTTAAATACTCTCTTACTATAACTGTGGGAAGATGTGTAATTGACTTGCTTAAGACACGACACAATATTTTTTTTAAGGCCGAAATTACGTTGAATATAATCACCAAGATTACCATCACTACAGTATATACGTTCTCTAATTATCATTTTTTTTCCTACTTGTCAGCTTATTAGCCGTTCGGGCGGTCGGGCTGAATTTTATTACGACATATTCTGGCCCAATGTTAGTGTCAAAACCGTAGTACCCAAAGATAACCTGTGATGTGTGGGATCTAACCCGGGACAACGTCTTGTCCTCAATTATGAGTCAAAAAAATATACGAACTGGTCTCTGGGGGTTTAAGATCCACCTCCTGGATTTTCAAGAGAAAGGTTCATTTGTTGACTTTTCCTTACATATGGAGATAATCAAACTCACCTAACTGCCGGAGTTAGAGCCAGATTACAAAATTGGCATAAAAATTACACCGAGACTCTTAAGTTAATCACACGTGTTCCCCTTTAGCAGCACCAGTCAGGAGGCAAAACAACGAACACCTGGTTTACTTACTATCAATCCTACAGCGAGGACAAACACGAAGTAGAGAACCAACACTAGGATGTCTGGCCATTTAATCTGCATTCCATCTTCAACACCCATCTTGTATAACTCCTTCACACGCTCGAGATGAAAACTTTGTACACGTGAGCACTACGGTCTCAACAACTCGGTGTCTCAACGGGCACTGACGCGTTATTCCATCACCCTTGCGTCTTTTATACCCGCGGACGAGATTGAGAGAGATACGACCATGGATACGACCCTATATATTTAACAGATTGATTATTATTTACTCAAGGTGTCATATCAGGGAGTTTCAAAGTGGCTACGATACTGTTTTTGGAGCTTGTGTAATGACTTGATTTGATTCACCAGAAACCGTGAACTCTATAATGTTAAATAATTCACTTTTGTTTGGGTGAGGATTGTGGCCCCAGACAAGGACATTTTTGTATGTGTTTAAAAGAACTTGTCAAGGTGTTGGGTTAATACTGACTATACACACGCACGCACGCACACACACACACACACACACACACACACACACACACACACACACACACCATTACCGTATTATCTCATAACCTGAAAATGACCCTACTATATAAAGTTACCTATAAAACATAACAAATTACCTAAACATCACCACAAACTCTAATAATAATATTTCTTTCCAGACCAACCATTAAAATTCCGTAATTAAATTAGATTAATCCGTATCTAACCCTGAGAAGAAAAAATAGATATCCATCATCTCGATTCAATTTATCAACAAAAAATTAATGACACTGACTTAAGTGTTCTATAACTTATTACTTTAGATATTTTGGGATGATTTCAGGTTACATAAACGTTACAGGTGTTTCAAAATTATGAAATCAAAGTATATAATAATCCAGCGGGTCTTACTATTTTTACTGTAGTTTTGGATAATTAGTATTTTTTAGATTTTTGTGATGTGTTTTGGAGGTTAAGGATTAAATTAAGGATCAGTGGAGGTTTAGGATTAAGTTAAGGATCAGTGGTTAAGGATTAAGTTAAGGATCAGTTGGAGGTTTAGGATTAAGTTAAGGATCAGTGGTTAAGGATTAAGATAAGGATCAGTTGGAGGTTTAGGATTAAGTTAAGGATCAGTGGTTTAGGATTAAATTAAGGATCAGTGGAGGTTTAGGATTAAGTTAAGGATCAGTGGTTAAGGATTAAGTTAAGGATCAGTTGGAGGTTTAGAATTAAGTTAAGGATCAGTGGTTTAGGATTAAATTAAGGATCAGTGGAGGTTTAGGATTAAGCTAAGGATTAGTGGTTAAGGATTAAGTTAAGGATCAGTGGTTTAGTATTAAGTTAAGGATCAAAAGTTTAGGATTACGTTAAGAATCAGTGGTTAAGGATTAAGTTAAGGATCAGTGGTTTAGGATTAAGTTAAGGACTAGTGGTTTAGGATTGCGTTTAGGATTAAGTTAAGGATCAGTGGTTTAGGATTAAGTTCAGGATTAAGTTAAGGATCAGTGGTTTAGGATTAAGTTAAGGATCAGTGATTTAGGATTAAGTTAAGGATCAGTGGTTTAGGATTTAGTTAAGGATCAGTGGTTTAGGATTAAGTTTAGGATTAAGTTAAGGATCAGTGGTTAAGGGTTAAGGATCAGTGTAGAGGTTTAGGATTAAGCTAAGGATCAGTGGTTAAGGATTAAGTTAAGGATCAGTGGTTTAGGATTTAGTTAAGGATCAGTGGTTTAGGATTAAGTTTAGGATTAAGTTTAGGATTAAGTTAAGGATCAGTGGTTTAGGATTAAGCTCAGGATTAAGTTAAGGATCAGTGGTTTAGGGTTAAGTTAAGGATCAGTGATTTAGGATTAAGTTTAGGATTAAGTTAAGGATCAGTGTAGAGGTTTAGGATTAAGCTAAGGATCAGTGGTTAAGGATTAAGTTAAGGATCAGTGGTTTAGGATTAAGTTAAGGATCAGTGGTTTAGGATTTAGTTAAGGATCAGTGGTTTATGATTAAGTTAAGGATCAGTGGTTTAGGATTTAGTTAAGGTTGTGGTTTAGGATTAAGTTAAGGATCAGTGGTTTAGGATTAAGTTAAGGATCAGTGGTTTAGGATTAAGTTAAGGATCAGTGGTTTAGGATTAAATTAAGGATCAGTGGTTTAGGATTAAGTTAAGAATCAGTGGTTTAGGATTAAGATAAGGATCAGTGATTTAGGATTTAGTTAAGGATTAGTGGTTTAGGATTAAGTTTAGGATTAAGTTAAGGATCAGTGGTTTAGGATTAAGTTAAGGATCAGTGGTTTAGGATTAAGTTAAGGATCAGTGGTTTAGGATTAAGATAAGGATCAGTGATTTAGGATTTAGTTAAGGATTAGTGGTTTAGGATTAAGTTTAGGATTAAGTTAAGGATCAGTGGTTAAGGGTTAAGGATCAGTGTAGAGGTTTAGGATTAAATTAAGGATCAGTGATTTAGGATTAAGTTGAGGATCAGCACAGAACTTAAACTATTCACCGATAAACTAAGGAAAAGTAATCAGAGACGTGACCGATCGCCCAAGCGGCTAACGAGCCGATCAGTGGTGAAGAGGATAAAAGTAAAAGCAAAAGTCGAGGATATGACGAAGTGTGTGTGTGTGTGTGTGTGTGTGCATAGTATAGACCCAACTGGCTCTCATTCACCCCTTCTCTTGTGTGTCGCTTCCCAATGCCTTATCTTGCACCCTCTCTCTCTCTCTCTCTCTCTCTCCCGTTATTCCTTTCCTGTTCTAGGGGTTCTCTCTTGATCCACTTCACACCAATATGGAAAGTAGATAGATAGATAGATTGATTATTATAGATAAATATAGATATAAATTGATAGATATCGTATTGTGAAGCATGCTAGTGGTGGTTATTATTATTATCATTACTGCCGTTAATTGGTTTAATATTAAAACGCTTTATTAGTGTTTTTTGTAATTACTATTATGAGCAGATGTTAACAGTGATTCATTCATTTTACCGGAAATCCTACTCCATACTTGACATTAAAACCATAAAAACAATGCATTTATTTCTTTATTGTGTTAAATGTGTTCATAACAAAAATCCTAATCTATATATATTGAAATTTACATATATTTTGGTCTCCGCACTTGTACAATAACACGAACATAGAACACGCTTATCGTCAGACAAACGCACATATACACAAAACTATTATATGACGTCCATATATATATATTTTTTTTTTTAATTGGTAAACCATACTCGTGACTACATCAATCAAGACCAAAGCCTTTTACAAGATCTTATCCACCTAAAACTGTGCAAGTCAGTTTATATTTCCTCCATACGATGCGTACTAACGATCATGTTTCCGAAAGATTGCTTCTCTGTATACCTAACGCTCTGTTGGTGGGATATAACAAACCCAATATATATAATTCTTGAGTTATAACGTAAATTATAGTGTAGCCTATATAGTGTCCCGTATAGTGTCGTATATGATATAGTGACTCACTCCTCCCCAACACGTATGAAAAAATACTCACAGCTCGTTGATGAAGATATAGAGGTTATCAGTAACAGTCAACGTACGTAATTGCTGAAGTGCCTTATCGTTATTCTTGTTACAAGTTCCTGTTGGCGCATTTCTCTTACATGAGAGTACTGTAGATGTTAGGCAAGACTAAGTGCGTCGTTTGAAGGAAGAGTAAGATGTTGTTGGATAGTAGTGCTTCGTGTATCTGTCAGGAGAGCAGTGAAAAGTTTGGAGCCTCTCTCTCTCTCTCTCTCTCTCTCTCTAATTGCCAGTGTGTAGTTCTTTCTCTCTCTCTCGATTGTGACTTTCTTTTTTGTTTTGAATGTTCGAATGTAAAAGGAAAAGTAAATTGAAAGTGACGAGAGGTGATAAAAAGTAAGCTAAATGAGTGGGATGAGATGAGAAAGATGAGTGGGATGGCAAGTGAGAAAAAAATGCGGGTGGGATAAGAAGTGAGACAAAAATATGAGTGGGATGGGACGTGAAAAAGTAAGTAAAGTCAATTTGACGAGAGGTGAAAATTGTAAGTAGAGTGAGTGGGGGTGAAAGGAGATAACAAGTAATTACAGTGAGTGGGGTAACAAGTAAAGTGAGTGGAGGTAGTAAATAAGTGAGGTGAGAGGGATTGGCGAATGTGTTTGCCGGTCATACACGCCCGTGATAGACACCACACGCAGCAAAACAACCTACATGGCCAAGTGTGTGTGTGTGTGTGTGTTTCCACGTATTCATATCCAAAGATAAGTTTGTTGATCAAAGTACATACAGCGACTTACGAAAGCTGATAAGAATTAATTTCCCGTAAATCCCATCATCCAACGAGATTATTTCCAACCTTTTCGTTTTCGTCGTCATTTACATCAATGCGACATCAACCTTCTTTTTCAGTTTGTTATATATATTCTGATTGCCTCTTTCCAGTTATGTTTTATATATTCTGGTTGTCTCTTTCCAGTTATGTTTGATATATTCTGATTGCTACATGAAATTCAACATTAATATATCAGAAAAATAAGTTCAGTGTTCCCCATACCGCGCAGCGTAACACAGGCATGTCATTTTCAACTAAACACAATACAAAATACAGTACTGTACTATATACGCAAGACCCAATAAACTTTGGTTTGCCTATTTTATTAAGTAATCATCAGGGCAATATTTTGAGCAAGGAAGATGAAATTTGGATACAGTATTGATCAAGTACTTTAGCATAAACTTTTATTTTAAGTTTCTGAGTCATATTGTACACCGGCTCCTATCCCTCCCTCTCCCCTCTCTCTCATTCCATCTCCAGGTGAAGTGCAGGGAGGTGTACAGTACATTTAACGCACCAGAATTGTTTATAAATTTAACCTGTTTTTTTTTCACACGCAAAGTACAAAGTATGTTTTTTTCTGTCTAGTAGTTTCTTATACCTTGTTAATTAAGAAGGTAATGACAGATTTCCTTTTTATCGCTAACTGATAATTAATAATTCTTTGAAACACAATCAGCCCCTAGCGTTTACCCGTATCTGCTTAAGCAATGTCATGAGAGACAGGTGATTAGTTATGAAGGTCTTATCTGCAAGACTTAGAGTGGATAGTAAAGTCGTCGTGTTTTTATCATTATAGTTGTTTGTTTGGTGTAAATGTGTGCTATGAAACTGCTAATTCTCGAAATTTTACAAATGCGTATCTTATGACAATAAGAT